CAACTTGCAAACGAGCGTGAACTTGCTGGGCTAGATTCATCTGTAGACTAGCAAAGGATTTGGATGGCTTGAGGCATTCTTCTTCTATGTACCGTTCCCATTACGAGTTTGGCGATTATGGCGTTCCATAATTTCCTGTCCTTTACAGGTCTTAGTAAATCTTGTCTTTTAACTATCTCCCTATAATCCTGTTCTGCTATCCATTCACGCAAGCTGTTTTCCTCTGCCCTTCTTGCTTTCAATGTATCCCATGAGTGTCAAATTTTCCAAACCCTTTTTCCTCATTATGTTCTTTAGAAATTTCAGTTGTCTCTTTCTGTTGTTAACTAGAAATGTCCTTTCTGGAATACGAACTCAGCTCACCTAGTTCCCATTCCGAGTCGCTAACAATTACACTACCCGTGTGTCCTTTTAGTCGAGAAAGCATTTGGAATTTGAAAAGAACTCGACAAAGTTCACAGATGTCGACATACGTCATGTGCCCAGAAGAATAGAAACCTTATAACTTTCAATGAGATCAAGAGTTATCAATCTATCACTTGGCATTCAAAGTTGGCTTTCAGTTGAAAAAGATCTGGGAAATTCGGGAAAAGTTCGATAATGCCTACGCATACAACTAAATTCAACTGATTCTCAAAGACAGAACATAGCCTCGAAAACTTGAGAAAACCCAGAATAAATCTCTTTGATGTTAAACGTCATGTGCCCTAAATAAATAACACATGCAATGTAACACCGGCGGACTATTAAGAGTTATTTATTTATGAGATGTCTTTGAAAGAAAGAAATAAAATTTCGAGACCTTATTTAAAAGCATACAGTTTTTTTTTTATATTCATTGATCGGAGTACACTTCTTTTACGAATAGTTTCTTCCATGATAAATGTTGGTCTGCGTATTAACATAGGCATTTTTAATGCTATTTTCACCCAATAAAAGGCCCAAGAGCTACTCAAAATAAAGGATTACAGAATGAGGTTGTTTTATGGACGTAAGAATTTAGATTATGAGGATATGTAGGATGGATAACGGCTGACCCTAGACTTGAAGTAGTTGGTAAAATATCCTTTCGGGAGAAGGTTCCACAAATTAATAGAAGCTGTCTGAATTGAATCTCCCTTTTAACAATGTAGAGAATGAGGATGGCTTGCCCTAGATTACATGGCATGGCGGGTCTTAGAAAGTCTGATATTTTGTTTCTTAGCAATCACTCTGATTCTACAATTAGTCACTTTCCCAACATAAAACAAAGTCATCCCGTAAGTAATGTCGGAAAACTGAATTACTGTATTTCCTGCCATATAAGCTCTTCCGAACCCTACAAAAACTCCTCTAAAAATCAACCTGCATTCTATATCTCGATTACTGGTTCTAGACTATATAAAAAGTTTTGTTTGACACAATCGTCACTTTATAGTTGCAGATCGAATTTATATATGATTATAAATGATTAAATTATGCTTACAAATCAAAACAATATTAAAATATAAAAACAATATTAAACTAACACCTAAACACTCATGTTTAAAACACGAGACGCTTGACTCCAAAATGAAACATATGGTGATTTTCTAAGCGTAGCTTATATATGGCACAAGACAGAAAATATAGAGCCTTTTCGACACTTAAACTTTTCATTCTCAATGCGGCTAAATACAATAAGCATACGGCCATGTTTAATGGGCTCTCTGCCATAGATATAAAACTCAGCCTAATATATATAAAAACAATATTGGGTAACTGAATAACAAAATTGAAAAATCCGACATTCTATGTTATTATTTAATATATTTTCTGTTTATACCATATTTTTATAGATATAATTTAAGTAAATGCTCAGTCTTTTTTAATTAAACAGTATTAATTTCATTTACTGGCCAGAAGGCCACAATGTTCGAGAAATTTCGTAGAAAATTTGCGCTCTCCGACAGGAATCGAACCTATAACCCTTATGGGAATCATCATATCGGTGTGTGTTTATAAACAGTAATTCGGACTTCGATAACTAGACGCTTCTCGCGGGTAAATGTAATTATTACCGTTTTTATTTGCTTCAATAAATTATATCTATAAAAATAACGCATAAAAAAGAATACACACAGGCACACACACGCAAACACACATATGTATACGTATAATACATATGTATATATATAGTATGTAAATATATATAGTGTATGTATGTGTGTGTATATATATATATATATACACTATATATATATATATATATATATATATATATAGGAATTGCATATATATATATATATATATATATATATATATATATATATATATATATATATATTAAAAAATAACAAATAACAAATGTCTATTATGTTTGGTCATAGAGCCGTTCTCAGCTTCGTATATTGGTTTTAGTTTCAGGATAAAATAAAGACAAAAATGTCCAAAATTTTCATATTTTTTTATTATGCTGTTCCTCGATCTAAGCTATCTCAATCTCGCACCCCCATCCCCCCATCTCTCTCTCTCTCTCTCTCTCTATATATATATATATATATATATATATATATATATATATATATATATATAGAAGATAGATATTCATCTCAGAGTAATATATATAAAACCAATAGTAGGTAACTGAGTAACAAAATTGAAAAATTCGACATTCTAGATTTCGTTCTTCCAAAGGACTCCTTCCGCCTAATAATGCTTTTATCATTGGAATCTTAAATATGGAAAGGTGTAACGAAATACAGAAAATCCCCGTTACGATCATACATCCATTACCCACTATATATATATATATATATATATATATATATATATATATATATATATTGTTAAATATAACAGACAACGAATGTCTATTATATTTGATCCTGAGCCTTTCTAAACTCCGTATATTTGTTTTAATTAAACGGGAGAAAATAAAGACGATAATTGTCCATTATTTGGATATTATATTATTATGCTTTTCCTTGATCTAAGCTTTCGGCTCACCTGAGCCATCTTCAGAGTGGTTATGCGGACATTTAAACAAAGATATTCATCATAAAAGATGATATTCATTATGTTATCATAAAATATTGCTATGCAACGATAACGATTGCGGAATAGCAGACGCAGGACGTAAATTCATGATGCAGTTCTATGACGTCGTACCAAGCGAGAGAACGAAATATTAATAAGTGAACCATATATCTAGATGCATTGTAATGTGTTGTGACTAGTTTGAAATGTAATTTTGTTGAGTGTGGTTGCTTTGTTTTAATGTAGATGACCTCCAATATCTGGAGGGTCTTTATTTATATTAATCAACTAATATCTGTCTAATATTATGTACATGGTTATGTTTTTCTAAGAAATGCTATTTAATAGAACTAAGATCAGAAAGGTGACAGGTAAGTCTACAGGGGAGCGTGGTTGTAGTAAAACCAATGTATGTAACGGGTTTATTATTAGTATCAGAGTTACAATCCCTGAACGAACATGTAAATTGATACACTACATTGTCTTTTTTTTTGTTTTTTTGTTTTGTAGAGGATTTAGTTGTGTGGTTGTAGGGTTATTATAGACTATGAGGTCATTTGTTTAAAAAGTATATTGTATTGGTATAAATATGGATATAAACCAAGCCTGATGAGTTGGTAAAACCATGAAACTTTAAGTTGCCCTTTGAAAGAAGGTATATATATATATATATATATATATATATATATATATGTAAAAATTTCTCAGAATTAACCTGTAGAAAAAGATAATAGATATCAAGGAAAAAGACAAAAGGAAAACTGTAGTTTTAACCGACGCGTTTTGTCCAATGTGGATTTTCTCAAGGCAAAAAATGAAATGAATTTATTGAAACAAAGAAAATAATTCACTCAGAAGGAAAATACCCGAGAGTGCCGCCATTGAATATTATCTAAATATTATTCTACGCCCTGGTTTTTTCCCAATATCAGCTTTAGTAACAGAATCACTACACTCCCAAGCCAACGTATGCAACAAATATATCAAATCAAAAGAAAACGGTTGAATCTGTTAACACAACAATACAAACAATTTTTCTAGATGTGATAATATTTTCTCCAAATATAAAATAATTGACGTAATTTTTCAGTTGACCATATGAATACACAATAGCGTTTCTAAATTCTTCAGGTTGCTAACGACATTTTGTTTGTTGTTTATAGATACTTTGTTTCAATAAAGTCATTTCGTTTTCTGACTTGAAAAAGTCCACACTGGACGAAACGCGTCGACTAAAAATGTAGTTTTCCTATTGTCTTTTTCCTTTATACATATTGTCTTTTTCTACAGGTTAATCTTAAGAAATTTTTACATATATATATCTCGTTTCGTGCGCATATGTAGACATGGCAACGTCAACAAAGCTCAGTCTGATGAAATCATATCATATATATCATACTATGAATATATATATATATATATATATATATATATATATATATATATATATATATATATATATATATATATATATATATTGTTTGTATGTATGTTTCTAAAGGATTATCGTTTGTATATATGCATGTGTCTCAAGGATTAAATTATAAATTGAAAATCATTTTTCATATGACAGGTTGACTATTTTTTTATAGTCTATTGTATTTTTAAATGATTTATGTTTAAATTCGATATCATTTCTCATTACTATAAACGTTATTTTTAGTGTGTAGACGTGTCTGAGTTGCTATCTCTATTTATATTTTCATAAAAGATGAGGACTTCTCGTTCTAGGCCGGTTGATATTAGTTTCACTGTTATGAAAAAAAATACAAAACAAAAAAATAAAACAGAGGTATCAACTCAAACATGTGTATTCATTATAACTAATGTTTATAATAATCAGAAATTGTCTAATGTTGAAATTCTCGTGATGGAATCTGGACAAAAATCGATATGGCCAGTGTTTAAAAACAGAAATGGTACCAATTATTTGACAGTTTAACAAACTTAATAAATTATTTGACAGCATTTATAACTGCTTAATTTTGCGTATTCTCTGGTGTTTAATGACTGTGAAACGATAAACTTACCCATCCGCTAAGTCGCTGCTCTCTCAAGGCATCTTCGTACGCTTTGATTTGCTGAAAGTAGATAATAAAAGAATTTAGAAAGAAAGAAAATATGTAAGAGATTGATTCTTGTCTTTACGCATTTTTGCATGGGAATAATCCTAAATAGTAACTTTGATTTCAGACTATCAATTAAAGACCACTACTTTTAAGAGTGCATCTTTTGATACCAATATATCCATTATACGTTTAGAGTGTAAACAGGTCTAGAGGTTATGGAATGACTGTTTTAAAATGTTCTGCCTTTTGTTCTAATAATTATAACGCATAACTCTCCTGAGTATGACGATAAACTACATCTGGTAGATAGACTTCTATTCGGGAGGTCTTGAGGAGCGTGGAACCACCTCAATTTTCTATTGTTCCCAGGTTTACCCTAATTTGGGGTGTCAGCACCTGTAAGGGTCCTAACTATGGGCAAATAGAGAACCTCCAAACTGGGGTCAATACCCCATGAAAGTATAAAAATACATTTTATATCAAAATTTTCTTGCAACAGATTTTAATAGAATAAAATTCTAACAATAAATTTTAATAGTAAGAAAAAATCCAGCATTAGATTTTAAAAGTAAGAATAGATTCTAGCAATAAATTTTAATAGAAAAAACTCTAAAATAGATTTTAAATGTAAGAAAAATTCTAGAAATAGATTTTAATAGAAAAAAAATTCTAGCCTTAGATTTCATTAGTAAGAAAACAATTCTAGCAATAGATTTTATTATAAAGAAAATTTTAGCAATAAATTTTAATTGTAAGTAAAAAAATCCAGCATTAGATTTTAATAGTTAGAAAAAATTCTAACGACAGATTTTAAAAGAAAAAAATCGGCAATAAATTTTAAATATAAGAAAAAATTCTAGCAATAGATTTTTATAGAAAACACTTCCCGCATTAGATTTTATTATTAAGAAAAACATTCAGCAATCATGTTTAATAGTAAAAAAAAAAAAAAGTAGCAATGCTCCCAAGATAATTAAGTTTCGGGATTCAATGACCCGTAGGAAAGTGATATACCGTTAAACAAACTAAACCAAACTATAACGCATAATCAGAGCTTCTGAATTATTTTAGCATCACCATCAAAAATTGTACGAAAGATATAAATATTACTATAATTACCTAATTATTTTGTTATACAGTCTGAACAGTCTTTGAAGGTCGTTGACAGGGAGATAAATGAATGGAAATCATCATAATAATGTAAATACTTAAAAGTTGTATTTGGGGACTTAAAAAACAACATTTTGCAATTTTAACCTAAATACAAAATTCAATCTGTACATTGAAATTTAGGAAAATACAATTGTCAGTTGTCAGGAATTAATGTCAATATTACTGACTGGAAAATATGGATAATGGGAATACATTGGTAATGGTTTTAATATAGAAATGCATTATAAATCAAGAAGAAAGGGATTGTCAGTGGTCAGAAAATAAGACAACCATTACTGATTGGGTCATTATAGATACACTGTGAAATGATTGCTAATTATATTACAATGGAAATGCATTGAAAAATGCAAGCATTGCAGAAACAATAGGGCTATTATATGTACAATCTAAATGCATTACTAATGACTTCCCTGTAAGAATTCATTGAAAATAAAGAAGAAAGGGATTGTCAGTGGTCAGGAATGAATGCAAATATTACCGACACAATAGGGCTATTATATGTACAATATAAATGCATGTGCAATTATATTGCAATAGAAATGCATTCAAATTCAGTAAGAAAGAGATTATCAGTAGTCAGGAATTAATGCATTATTGACACAATAAGGCTATTATATGTACAATGTAAATGCATTACTAATGATTTCACTATAAAAATGTATTGACATTTTATTGTGGGAATGAATTGGTAACCAAGAAGAAATGATTGTTAGTGGTCTGACAACAAAGCAAGAACTATTGATAAAAAAAAAAGATTAGCGAGGCTATGGAATGCTTGAAAAAAACGTTGCTTTCGACACTCAAATAAATATGTGGTTTGTTTTATAAGTATTAATTTAGGTTGACACGTGTGTTGAACACCGAACGAATATTGAACCCATTACAGTCGTAAAACTGTACCGGATTCGCTTACCAATCATTGATTTATATCAAAACGCCCGACTGTTTATGTTCAGAGACACATTTAAACTTCTCAAAAAGAAATTCACATTGTTATAAAGTAATTCAACAGCAGTAAGTATACAGACCATAGTTTCTCAACCATTTTTATTACAGCGTGCTCTTGTAGAATAACTAAAACTCTGGGGCACACTTTAAAAATTAGTCATTAAATAAGAAAATAATAAAGAAGTCTCCTAAAATATGTATTTATTTTTAAGGCATTACATTTTATATTTAAGTATGACTTTGTGAAACGTGTGCTTGATGTACTTTGGTAATTTTTTTTTAATGTTAGACATCATATGTGATAAACATACTTCCATTATATTCCCTAAAGAACAGTTTTCATTCAAAGGAATTTATGAAGAATTTCCTTTCTTTTTTTTTTAGAGAGGCCGATACTGACCGATTTAAATACCTTGACGAAGATTATCCACTTCTCAAAGATTAAGGAATTTTATATCTAGTTTAAAGTATCAAATGACAAAGACATGACTTAAGCATGGAAGATTTTTAAAAATAAAGATTTTTTTAAATATAAAAATAATTCATGAATTATTCTTCTGTTAATTTTGGGTACACCTGGTTAGCTTTCGGGGCGTATTAGTACACCAGAGCACACCAGTTGAGAAACGCTGACATAGACTGTTGACCCCGTAGCAAGTGGTTTATGGCACTGAGTCAAACTCAATAAACACTTGCAATTAATGATCGCAGATACGTTGGGGCGGCCATGATCAATACTTAGGAAGGTGAGCGTTTATGGACACTAATTACTGTAAGCCTTGGGCTACAAAAATAAATTAAACTTAGTAAATAAATAGTACAATAAATAGTAAATAAATTTTGCATTCAGAATGTTTTATCAACATGGGAGTAAGAGCAAGAATGCGTGATAACATAATGGTTATCGACGTTGAATGTGGAATCGACGAAATCAGTTCAAATCCAGGGTACTGCGCTGACTTTTGCGCAAATGTCTTCAGAAAATGTTAGATTCCGTTTTTTTTCTATTCTCTACAAGCAACAGGTTACACAGTAGTGTAGACGGGGTTCTTTAGCCTTGGGTGGCAGTATTTCTAGACGAGACATTACTCTGATTGGGTTTGGTTTATTTTGTTTTATGGCATATTAACGCCTCAATGGGTCATTTAATGCCGACAAGACTTTTAGGATAGGTTCATATGAATAGAAAATGTATTCTTTGTAAGAAATCAGTTTGTAGATCAAGTTTCATTGATGTATTTTTGTAAAGAGGGTTTTTGTCTAAAGTCAAATTTATTACTGCGAATATATTTGTTTTATTTTAAAAATGGATTGCTGGTATTTTTTACCATAAAAATCTATTTTTATACTTTCATTGTATGTTGAGCCCAACAGGTTGACACTAACAGATGCTATCACCCCGGGTTAGGGTAGACCTATGAACAACAGCAATTAAGAGGTGATTCCATACACCTTAAAGCCTGTCGATCAGAGGCCTTGTGGCCGGGTGTAAGTTTATCGTCATACCCTAGAGATTACTGTGAATTCCAAAACGTACAGAAAGTAAAGGGAAAGAACTCTGAGTTATATCCCGAAAAATCATGGCAATTTAGAGTTAATAAAAGAAAGGAATCTGTGTCAAGCCACGATCGCCTATGCATTTAAAGGACACAGTATTTAACTGTCATGGTACCTACCTAGACCGACAGAATAAACTCTTCTTAACGCTATATATACTACGCCTCTCAAGCCGAGCTTCTCGGCGTGACGGTCGAACTCTCTGCCTCTGAGCAGAGAGGAACCTGGACGAGGCTCCGCCGAAGGGTAGAGTCTCGTTCGGGGAGGTTGACCAATCCGATCCCGTTTATACGGGTTCTACGGGCATTTTTTGGCTGAGCCTATGGGCTCGGGAAACCCACGTTAAACTCGGCCTTGTGCCACATGCAACCCTCGTGGGGGCTAGATACCGAATCGAGTCGAGCTGATAGTAGTTCACTCCAAACTAGTCTGACAGCCGTACTAACACCTTCCACTTGTGTTATTTTTCGTGTAATATATTCTTTGTTATTTCTTCTCTTGTGTTTCATGTTGTTCTTCCATGGTCCTAACCTTGGACCATAACATTAACAAATAGAATTCATTTCTTTCTTGTTGATACTCTATTCTTCACTTTAAGAAAAAGGAATGAATAGTGAGACGAATAGAGATGCTGACCTTTATAGCGAGTTTGCTGACGGTAAATGAATAGTCTGTAGATGTGAACCCGAACGTATCCGCCGCCTCCTGTTGTCGGGCTTTTTGTTGAGCTTGCAACGATCGTCTAAAATAATAAAAGAAATACATTTAAAATAGTCTCAAAACAGAAACAATTAAAAATTTAGCAACAGAAACATTTTACATTATTCGGACCATTATCCTCATCTTTGTCGCCATATTTATTACAGCGTTTCGACCATTGTACGCTCCGGCCTTCTTCAGGTGGTTGGAATTTTGAATTGAACCCTCAAGGACACATAGCACAGTGGATAAAGTCGTTGGTTAGATCCAGTGACAGGACCCAAAGAGTGTGAGTTCAATACCCGGTTAAGGCAGTGGAGAACTTTCAGAGGGAAATTAGCAGGAGATAACTGATAACTGTCACCCATCAAACATGGCACGTGGAACTAGAACAGTCTACCCCAGTGAGCGAAATAAAGGGTTTAGTTCGAAATTCCAACCACCTAAAGAAGGCCGGAGCGTACAACGGTCGAAACGTTGTGATAAATATGGCGACAAAGATGAGGACAATAGTCCGAATAATGTAAATAATGTACATAATACCTCATCTCAGAAATATAGACAGACTCTGAAGAAACATTTTATTAATAGTTTTCCCGATAAACATTTTTTCTTTTTAGTTTAGAGATTTCTTTTGTTCCAGAAAAGTAAAAGAATCGACATGCATTAGCTTAAGAGAACAATGTATAAACCAGGGTACTGCGTATTTCAATATTAATTTCTATGCTTTGCAGAGAAGGTATCCCCGTGTATTAATATATAGAATCAATTGTGTTAAACGATTTAATTATAGGCCGATCCAAGCAGTATATTTGGCGCCATTCCTGTGTTGACTGTCATTTCTAGAAAAAGAAAATACTTTCCTTCCTTCCTTTCTTACAGATTGTCCTCTTGAAGAAGGCTGTAGAATGGTACGGCTGCAATAGTGATATAATTACAAAATCAATAATAATAATAATAATAAAATGAGTTCAGTAATGTGAACAATCGTTGGGATGAGATTGACTCTTTTAAGAATCACAGAAAGGGACTGTGGTTATTGGGTTGATTTGTTAAGCCTTTTTACGTCTGTCTTGTGTCAGACATAACAAAACATGGTGGGTACAAGCGGTCACTCTGTTCAGTAGTGATTTGTTTCAAAGTTCCTTAACCTTGCTGATGAGACGAGAACAGGTTCTTTCTCAATGATCTGTATGTAAGTTTATCTAGAGGTAGCTATGTTAGACTAAGATAAAACTAATAGTTTTATCTTAGTCTAACATAAGGACACAATTATAAGAAAAGCGGTAAGGATCAAACCCGTTACCTTTGTAATTTGTCTTCATGTTCATCGTTTAGCTTAGTACATTATAAAGGCAACTAAGAACTGTAAGCAACGTAATGAAGGATTTGTTCCTACTAATTCTACTATTATTACTAAATCTAATGCCATGATGGCATCGAAGCCCAAGAGAACCACTTTGTCCATCCATCTTTCACAGTCTTGGCAGAGCGTCGAAACATCCCCCAGCGCCAGATTAACTTGCTGGAAATCCTGGCGGACGATGTCCTTCTAGCGGATGCGTTGTCTGAACGCGTTGAACGATGGTATGGAGGATGGTTGACTGGCGTGTCAACCGGCGGAGCTCTTCGTTTTGCTGGTAAATGATCATAGCACATACGTGATAACGAGCAACACAAGACTTGAATCTTTCATATTTAACATTACATTTTATTAAACTTCAGATTTGGTCAATTATTCCCAACCAGTGGGCGTATGCGACCCCATAGGGCCATCAACTTAACCTGGGCCCTACAGACTTTACTATGATGGCTGAGAGACTGCATCGCTTTGATGCGTTTGTATATATGTATATATATTTCTAAAGAAGTAATGGATTTTTTTATTTATTAATCAAAAAGATTTTTATCACTTTCAGCATTATTCTTAGTGGATACTCATATTTAAGTAGACGCTCTGTTTATTTATTAAGCAGAATATTTATATATTTATTTATTTTCATCTACCGACCTGAATGTTCGAGAAACAGAGCGCATAGTTTTCTTTAATAAGATTTCTGGACAATAAATCCTGGACTAGAATAAAGAGTCTAGTTTCTTTGCTATTTAACCCGCAGCAAGAATATATATATATATATATATATATATATATATATATATATAGTTTGTATATGCCTTTTCTAATGTGTATTAGAAATTGCTATCTATGCACGGAGAAGAAATTGGAAATAATAGAATTTAAGATGAATGGTCTAATAAACAAAAGAAATGAAATTGAAGTTATTTCGAATGCATTCCTTTTGAAAACGTGAAACAAAAACAAAAAACAAAAAAGAAAACACAAATTCTTAAACTATAGAGCTTGCAAGCATCGAAAAAAAAAAAAAATAAAGGAAATTATATATATATATATATATATATATATATATATTATTATTATTACTTGAAATATTATTTTAGGGGATACCGGTATTTGAGTAGATGCTCTGTTTATTTTAAACCATTGGTTTCCAAAATTTTTCTCTTTGTCGCATTTTCCGAATGAAAATTTGTTCGTGTCCCATCAAATTTTATGTGATGAAAAGTATATTGAAAAAACAAAAAAACAACAACAACAAAAAAAGAAAAACAAAAAAAACTAACAGAGGGTTAATGGGAGATAACCACGGATTTGAAGTCAGAACATTATCATTGATAACTTTCTCCTCCAATTTGCGGAGCCTAGCTACTATATTCTTAATACTTGATATAATGCAAAAATATCACAATAATAAAATCGGTCAATAATTATTTATAACTATTTATACTGGGACTCATGCATGCAATTACAAGTAATCCATAATAATATTTTAAATTTTGAGATCCTATTTATTTTTGGCATATGAATTTTTTAAAACTGTTTCTAAATCTTTGATTGTCTTTCAATCATTCCAAATCGCCTGCTAGCCTGTTTAGCCGCACTTATGAGGCGCACCGCACGGTGTGTGAACTACTTTTCTAAATAGTATTTATTTCGTCTACTGGTCTGCGTAATCGAGGTAACTCAATAAAATGTGTCCTCTGGCACGATTCGTACCCGCGTCCCACATTGCAGGAGGAGCCGTTTCAACCGGCGTGCTTCTACCGCTCGGCTATGAAGAGTTTCAAAATCAAGCCAGGTATTGTTATATCTTTAAAGTACATTCACTTCATCAGATTTTTCTCGAAAAGCATATCTGTGCAGTTTCGTATCCGAAATGTATACAAAGCAATTTCTAAACAAATTTCCATTAATTCTGTTTAAATTTGGAAATAATTTTTTTTTTCAAATTAACGATATCAGACGCTGGTTCTTCCTAGGAAGAAGGACGCAGGTTCGAACATTTTCGAACGAGGGTACATTTTCTTTATCAACTTTTCACGAATATTGGACGTTCTAGTCAAATTATGTACCCACTAAAATAACATTTGAAGTAATTAAAATATATGTCGGATTATTCTCCCTCTTTCTCTCTGTCTCTTTATACACACACACACAAACATATATATATATATATATATATATATATATATATATATATATATATATATATTGTCAGACAGACTGTTTCGCTGTATCACAGCTCATCAGTGTGGCTAGACGTCCAGTGCCTTTAGCTAGGACCGAGACCAGACTGAATTGGCGTCAGTCGGAGATTCTACCACTAATCCAGGTGTGTGTGTGTATATATATATATATATATAGCAAAATTGTTCAAATCGTGTAACAGCATAAATGTACATCACACAAAATATTTAATATCTAAAAATTCACTAAACTAATTTCTTCTCAGGTTTTCAAATAAAACAGTTAGCCGTCTTGACACCATTTGTCGTAAGAATCATCGAAAAAAAGTTATTCAGGTAGAAAGAGAATAAGTTAAAATCGTTTTGTGTCAGTCCTACTCTCTTCCCAAATGATGGACGGTGAGACAAAATAGATCATTCAGGCTTTCAGTAATGGTACAAACATTCATACTCTGGCTTCCATCTTGAAAGTCCATTCGAGAATAATCAAAAGAACGGTGAATAGGTTAAAAAAGATGGAAAAGTAGAGAGGAAAACTGGATCAGGATGTCACAATCGGAAGAGGGATCATCATTTCAACTTAGAGCTAAAGAGGTCAATTAGAAAAGATCTAACTCAATCCATAAGACGTTTGGCACATGAGAGAGAAGTTTCAGCTATGACAGTCTAAAGAGCAGCGAAACATGCGTACGTGAAACATGCAAGGTAACTTGTTACTCAAGGGCATAAATTTATAAGAGTGGGCGAAGATCATCTTGAATAAGTTAGAAAATGGTCCTGGAATTATATATATATATATATATATATATATATATATATATATATATATATATATATATGTATGTATTTGAAAATTTCAATCCTTCATAAACTTCAGATGCTTAGCTATGATTAATTAATGATGAATATGTCATTTTTGTTTATGATCGATTTCATCACGATTCTTCTGTTAAGCTCGGAGAGTAATTATATATTCTTATTGCACAAAGTAGAGTCTAGTAGTGTTATAAAAACCACGGAGAATTCCAGTAAGATATCTTTAATCATTTGTGAGACACAACAGTTCAGAGCTTAATCTAACAAATGGACAATTTTGCTTTTACACGATTTGGACAATTTTGCTGTTACACCCATATATATATATATATATATATATATATATATATATATATATATATATATATATATATTTCTTATTAACGGAATTATATATGTGTAGGAGTTGCGGGAGGAGATATAAACATAAAAGCAGGTTATAATTATGCACTGAGAGGAAATACTGAAGATGTGGAACGCTACATTTAAATTTTTTCAAGAACACTTAGAATTTTTTGCCCTTAATATTCATATGATGAGGAAGAATACATTAAAATAGATGCAAACCCTTCCAATATACAAATTATTTCATATCTAACGCGAAAAATAAAGCTCATCAAAATTTTTAAAAAATAAACGATATAAAGATAATTAACGAAACGAGATAAACACTACATACAA